ATTAGAAACCCTTGACTTGTCAAGAAACAAGCTTTCTGGCCCAATTCCAGCATCCATGTCTTCTCTTACATTTCTGAATCACCTGAACTTGTCATACAATAACTTGTCAGGACAAATCCCAACAACCAACCAGTTCCAAACCTTCAATGATCCTTCAATTTATGAGGGCAATCCAGCACTCTGCGGGCTTCCGTTATCTTCTAAGTGTCCTGAAAACAACGGAAAATCTGGTCAGTTTCCTGGTGAGGATACAGAGAGGAATGGTGAAAAAGGGGATGATTATGAGAAGCTGTATTTCTTCGTCAGTGTGGCATTAGGTTTCATTGTGGGGTTCTGGGGAGTTTGCGGCACTCTCATCATCAAGAAGTCCTGGAGGCATGCGTACTTCCGCTTCCTCAATAAAGCAAAAGATAGGTTTCTTGTACTGTTAGTTAACAACAGTCATCTGCAAAGGGAAGGCTCCAGAAATCCGTCAAATAACTAAATTATAATGTAAACATTTTTCAGCTTAAGTATCTCTAATGGTACTTTAATTCATAGTATACATACAATGCATATATGTTGGACTTTTTTGTAATCAAGGACTCCTGCTGTTCTTTAAGGCAATATTATTACATGCTTTCCAACATGATCTACAGGCACAAGTAACTAACGAACATGTCTGTTATCTACAAAAACCCAGTTTTCCTAGTTCATGCTTCAGACTAAAGAAGCTTTTCTTGTGCAGCAAATTCAATGGAAAAATGAAAGCTTTGCTTTCTCAGTTGTTAAATTAGGTGGGTTTCAACTTGTTGAAGAATTCTAGCGAGCTGCTGCTTTTTTATTTGACCTCGTTGAGATGACTTGGGTCAATGCTTCAGACGTCCCAGTCATGGCGGTTTAATATGGGAAAATTACAGAATATTAGAAAAACAGAAATTGAGGAAACGGGTTATGTCTCGGGTCGGGTGTGAAATAAGGTAAGGTTTAGATATTTTTCTGATGAACTGATTGGTGTTATCCATTCCCGCCAAGGAGAGCTGAAGAAGTGTCCCTCCGCCAGCCATCGAGAGCAGCACAGATGCCGCTGTGCGTCCTCCATGCTAGCCCGCCTTCGCCAGTGATCTCCTGCCGCGTGTCAACCCCTGGAGTGCGCTCCCTCCCCTCTCCTCCTCCTCCTCCCACTTCTCTCCCCCAAAACCCTAACGCATCCGCCGCCCCCACGCTGACCTGCGCCTTGCAGTGCCCACACTTCCAATCGTAAGCTCCTTCATCAAACAAATTTCACTGGTTTTGATTGCAAATATTTAAATTCTGCTCTTTTTTTTTCTTTTTTTGAGATTTTCAGGTGCTCCGGCTGCACTCACGAATTCAATCTCCACCGTCCGGTTATCGTTGAAGAGGCTACTGATTTCTTCAAAAGTGTCGGAGTTTTAGATTTCACTTTCGATAGTTGCAGACTGGTATTCAACTGATTCTGCTTACATACCACCATTATCTCTTTTTTTTTCTTGTTTCTGCTTATTTTAGCTAACTGAATCTGGTTTTGGTACTGTCCCTTCCGGTTGTAGTGGGGATGGCGGTGCCGGGCGAAATTGGCCGTTCGCGGCTCCTCGGAAAACCCTCTGATTGGGCTCTACCAGGAGGGTACTCATAACGTAGTGGATATTCCTCATTGTAAAGGTGTTAAGACTCACAACTTATATTAATGTTAATCAAGTTGGGATTATTTCATTCTAATCTTCGGTTTTATTCCTGCAGCTCATCATCCAAACATCAATGCTGCTGTTGAGCTACTAAGACGAGGTGGTGTTTTTCTTCCCCTTTCTTTTGAAATTTTTGGATTTTTAACATTTTAATCTTAAGACATTCTTAAATTATTTCTGGGTATTTAGGTATTAAAGAGTTAAACATTGAACCCTATGATGAAGATGAAGGGACTGGTGATTTGCGATATGTTCAGGTGATCAATGCAACTATTCTTAATCAAACAAACTGAAAAATTATAAGAAGAAATCAAAGTGTATTATATTTATACAGCATCTTCCATTGAGAAATTGAAGGATTATTGATATCTACAGATGGCTTTGACTACTTACAATACTTCACTTCCAGCTTCACAAAGATATAAAAATGGTAAATCTTAAATAACCTGTTTATCTATTCCTTTGGGTAAAATATTCAGTTCATAGCGAGAAAATATCAAATTTGAATAATTTTTTTTTTTCCAGGTAGAGTACAAGTAGCTTTAGTTTGGAATTCAAGAAATGAAAAATCCCTCAATTCAGACAAATTAAATGCCTTGGCACATGTGAGCTCTGTCTCTATTTCTTCTCTTGTTTGGTTCCTTCCCCTTTATTACTAGTGCCCCATATGTTTAACATCGTTCTCTATGGCAGTTTTTCTGGAGAAATGGAGGGCCGAGGAGTACTATTCATTTAATTCATTCTGTATGGGCTAATTTTCAGACATCAACTAACAATGTGAGTAACTGTATGAAGTTTACTTGCAAGGAATATCTTCTGTTTTTATGGTGTTGCTGGAGATTGTTGCTTCCTCTTTTTTTTTTTAAAAAGACTGGCATGTTTTCTTGATGATACAGATAATTTTTGGGAATAGGTGGAGACGTCTTTTGGGGGAAAGAGACTTTTGGGAACATGTTGGAGGAATTGATATATCATTGGATCCCTCTAGTTTTGGCCAAGCAAATACACGAGTTAGTTGGAGCTGCCATTTTCTAAAACCGCTATAAATTTTTGATCTATTTACTATTGTTTAGCTCCTTTTCCATCCTACCATAAATGAACTTTTATCATTGCTTGATGGAAATCTTGTTTGGCATTACTTAGTTGTAATCTCCTTTTCAGGCCTTTGACATCCTGCTTCGCAAAGTACAAAAGTATGTCCCTCATGCAGCATCTGTGGCTGATTTGTATGCAGGGGCTGGGGTGATTGGATTATCATTAGCTGCCAGTAGAAAATGCAGGCAAGAGCAGATGGTTCTAACTGCTTTAAATTCCACTTTTGTACTTGTCTTACATTCTGATTCCAATTTTATTGGCATTGTTTTCCAGGTCTGTTAAGTGCGTTGAGGTTAACAAAGAGTCAAAACTATCATTTGAGAAGACAATTGACCGCTTACCAAGCTTAGTAGATGGCAGCATCAGCTGGCATCATGCAGATACTTCAGTAGTTAGTTTTCAACTCTTAAATATTTTATGCTTCTGCATCTTTTATTTATTTATTTTTTTGCTCTGATACATACAAAGGAATCACGAATTATGAATATGAAAAAGAGGGAATGGCTGATTATGTTTCTAACTCCATACATAAAGAAAATGTTGACTCATGCTCACCTTTTCTTACTACATATCCTTTATGTTGTTCTCAGCAGAATTGTGAACTTTTGCCTTATTTCATAGTTTTATGAATATTGCTGTTGATTATTCAATGCCTTGAGCTTCCATAGAACCTGGTTTCAATATACTGTGAAATGATTGGAACTTATTTTGTGAACTATTTATTTGTTTTTGCAGGATCCTCTTTCTTGGCTTGTGGGATCAGATGTTGTAGTTGTTGATCCTCCTAGGAAAGGACTGGACTCATCATTGATTGATGCATTAAAGACTATATCACTGCATAAAGTTAAGTCATCAGTTCTAAGGTAGGGCAATTTCTGTTGATCACAACCCAGTAAATGGATCTTAAAGTGTTTACTATAAATGCTACTCAGTTCATTTTGTAAATCGGATCACTCAATACATCTCAAGTTATTAACAAATTATATGTCAATCTCAGCTCAAATTCAAAAGAAAAAGAAGAAAAGAGACCATGGATTCTTCGTGCAAGAGAACATACAAAAGAAGCTTCCGATCAGTTTGGGAAAGAAACAACGTCAGATGACACTCCATCATTGCCTCATACACTCATTTACATAAGCTGTGGATGGGAAAGCTTCAAAGAGGTACTTGTAGTTGTAAGACATTTTATTTTTTCTTGCCAAAATAATGTCCTATGCTTAATGGGAAAATTCCAACTTTTATTAGGTTGTTTTTCTCAACCTTATTTGGAAGAAACTGTTTATAATACAGGATTGCAAGTCATTGTTGAGAAGTAAAACCTGGCATTTGGAAAAAGTCCATGGTTTCAATTTCTTTCCTGGCACTCAGAGGTATTGCCTTCATAAAGAAGTTGAGAAGTCACGTTTAATTATCTAAATTAAATTGAGTCAACACATTATTGTCCAATGTATCTGCTTATAAAGTAAACTCCTTTCCCCTGGGCCTTGGTTATTCATTTTCATTTTAATCTGGGATATTGCTTGCAGCATTGAGGTTCTTGCTGTGTTCAAGAGGGGCCTTAAGAAAAAGAAGTCAGGAAAGAAGAAGAAATGAATGTGAGGGTGGAGTACTAAGATGTTGAGCCCCAGATTTTGGCATTAAATTTAAAGACTGTAAAACTGGTTTCAGGTTCCAGATATACAGAAGAAAATAAACTCGAGATAAATTGGAAGTATGAACAATGTGAAGTATATTCAGAAACAATCTGACTTGATCATTTCTCTATTCCCTGAATGAAATGGAATGGTTCATTATTCTTTGAAATATTTGTAATTTTTGTCAGCAATCAAAGTTCTATATCATCTCTGTGTCTCATCCCAACAGCTTTAGAATTGTTGAAAGAATGGAAATCTGAGGGAAAAGTGAAGCTCACAAGACAGGAAAAGAAGAAAACAAAACAAAAAGATGTGCTTAGATCATACTTCAATGGTTTTTTTAGGAGTTTGCTAGATGTGGAAAGGCAGTCAAAATGTTGCATGCCCTCAAGTCCTGCCTGGTCAAGATCCCCAAAACGAGAGAAGCCTGCAAGTGGAGCATATTTTCAGGTAAGCACATATGTGATCTCTTCTTATATTCAATTCTTTAAAGGATAAAACTTACCCCTGCTGCTTGATACTTTGGTACTATGAGCAGATGCCGGAGTCCAACTTGTCGGAACAACACCATAGCTTTGGCAACCGACATGCTCTCCACCACCCTGTAAGGGTTTGTATTGGCCAGCGGATGTAAATCGATGTACATTTCCATTTCATTGCATGTCACTGCCACCTCTTCAATCTTCCCCTCCCTTTCAGCCAGATCAACCCAGTTGAATTTCTCCCTCACTTCCCAGTCCTCCGCCCTCCTCCTTTCTGGCAGAAACCATTTCTTCTTTAGTGCCTGAACCAGGTGAGCTCTAAGGATCAGTCCATGCAGCTCCTTTGCCCTAGCAACTACACAACCTGGCAACATCACACCTTCGACAACAATAGGGAAACCATTGTGTGTAGTGTTCTTCAGAACATCAACAATGCGAGACACCTTTTCAACTCCACCGAGGGTAACCACTGGCGGCTTGGCATCAGCAAGCTCACCAACAGTAAGATTTCTCATCCAGGGCTCCGGATGTGCGTCCAGGAAAGGCAGACCTTTAAGTTCCAGTATAATTTCATAGATACTTGGATTGAAGTTATCTCCAACAGTTTTGGCTATCAGAAGGACTATCATTGTTATGGGCAGCAAAAGAAGGTTGTTTGTAAGTTCAAGGAAGATCACACATAGCGACACAGTCATCCTCATTGAACCAGCCATCAGTGAAGCTGCACCCAGAACAGCATACAGCCCCTGGTCAATGTTGGTGTAGGAGCCCATGGCCATGCCAAGCAGCCTGCCATAAGCTGATCCCATGAGGATGATTGGGAGAAACAGACCGGAGGGCACAGCAATGCCAAAGGTAAAGAGTCCCAGAATGCAATAGAGGGCAAAGAAAATCAGCAGAGAAGTGACAGTAAACTCTGAAGCAGTATTGGTGGAGAAGATATTCCGAACAGCATCGTCGTTGGTTGTAAGTAAGAGAGTAGCTAGATCATTGTAGTACCCATCAGGGCAGTTGAACTGCTTGAAATTCCCAGACCGCCCGTTTGTTGGACAATCCTCTGTAATGGAAGCGTTGCAGGCTCTGCATTTGGCCAGGAAAGGGAGACAATACAGACAGACTGAGGTAAAGAGGGAAACACTGAGACTCAGAAACAGTCTATGCATTTTCCCCTTCCTGCAAATGGAAGAATGATTACTTTCCCAAGAAAAGTTTCAGAAAATGAGGAATTTAACATAGAAAATTGGATTCTGAATCTTACTGATTAATGACATTGTAGAGTCTAAGAGTCTTGTGAAGAAGGTAATTGTAAAGGCTGCCCAAAACCCCTCCAAAGATACCAATTACAGTAACGGGGATGATATCCATTACATGATACCGCACTATAACATCGCTGACATCAAACATTACGAGTCCTCCAGATCCGAAGAGGCCACATTTCCCTGTGCTGCAAATTTGGATGAAGGCTCTAAGCACCACCACAACTACGGCTGTGCTGAAGAAGGTTCTCCAGAGGAGGGTGCTCCTCCACCATGTAGCAACCTCTTCAAGGGCAAATAGGACGCCACCCACCGGTGCACGGAAAGCTGCACATACACCAGAGGAAGCACCACAGGTGATGAGGTCTCTTCGGTCACGATCGTTGTTGAAGTATCGAAGCCAGCGCCACTTCAGGCGGTGGTTGTCAGGCCCTCCTTGGCCTAGCAAAGAGGCAATGCAGCTTCCTATGTGTACT